CCATTCTCTCTAAATGACCAACCACCTCAACAACCCCCTCTTCTGCCCCCCTGACTAATACTTTTATTAACTCCACACCTTCTCCTAATTTCCACACTCCGAATTTTTTGCATAATATTTACCCCAAACACATTGCCTTAGACAGGACATCTCCGCTGCCCCCAACCGTCTCCCTTGCTGCTGCATTTACCCCCCAAGCTTCACACCCATATAAGAGGTTGGTACTACTATATTTTTCCATACATTCCCTTCTTTGCCTCCATAGAAACTTTTTTTGACTCCACATATAACCTCAACGCACCACTCACCTTTTTTCCCTCATCAATTCTATGATTAACCTCATCCTTCATAAATCCACCCGCCGACACGTCAACTCCCAATATCTGAAAACATTCACTTTTTTCCATACTCCTCCTCCCCAATTTGATATCCAATTTTTCTTTATCTAAATCATTTGACACCCTCATCACCTTACTCTTTTCTATGTTCACTTTCAACTTTCTACCTTTACACACATTCCCAAACTCATCCACTAACCTTTGCAATTTTCTTTAGAATCTCCCATAAGCACAGTATCATCAGCAAAAAGTAACTGTGTCAATTCCCATTTTGAATTTGTTTCCCCATAATTTAATCCCACCCCTCTCCCAAACACCCAGCATTTATTTCCCCTTTACAACCCCATCTATAAATATTTTAAACAACCATGGTGACATTACACATCCCTGTCTAAGACCTACTTTTCCCGGAAGTAGTCTCCCTCCTTCTACACACCCTAACCTGAGCCTCACTAACCTTCATAAAAACTCTTTACAGCATTTAATAACTTACCACCTAATTCCATATACTTGCAACATCTGCCACTTGCTCCTCTATCCACTCTATCATATTGCCTTTTCAAAATTTCCATAAATGCAATAAAAACCTCCCTATCTTTATCTAATACTGTTCACATATATCCTTCAATGTAAACACTATCTACACATCCCCTACCCCTCTAAAACCTCCTTGCTCATCCGCAATCCTACATTCTGTCTTACCTCTAATTCTTTCAATATAACCCTACCTACACTTTTCCTGGTACTCATTAACTTATTCCTCTGTAATTTTTCAGTTTTCTTTTGTCCCCTTTCCTTTATATAAGGGACTAACATGCTCTGCCAATCCTGGGTACCTCCCCCCTCTTCATACTTTATTAAACAAATACCAACCACTCCAACACTATATCCCCCCCTGCTTTTAAATTTCTGTCATGTCCATCATTTTCCAGCTGTTTTAACCCCCTTTATTTTACTAATCCTACGACCTCCCCCACACTTACATCGCTCTTCTTCACTCCTAAAAGATGGTAAAACCTCCCTGCCCAGTGATGAATACTGCCTCTGTTTTTCCTTAACATTTAAAAGTTCCCAAAATATCTCGCCATTACCCAATACCTCCATCCCCCCATCTACCTCCCCCTCTGTTTTAACTGAAAATCCATATTTCCCCTAGGCTTTCTTAACTTGTTTAACTCGCTCCAAAATTTTTCTTTTTTTCATTAAAATTTCTTGACAGTGCCTCTCCCACTCTATCATCTGCTCTCCTTTTGCACTCTCTCACCACTCTCTTTACCTTTTTTTTTACTCTCCATATACTCTGCTCTTCTTATAACACTTCTGCTTTGTAAAAACCTCTCATAAGCTACCTTTTTCTCTTTTATCACACCCTTTACTTCATCATTCACCAATCACTCCTCTTCCCCCTTTCCCCCACCCTCCTATAACCACAAACTTCTGCCCCACATTCTAATACTGCATTTTTAAAACTATTCCAACCCTCTTCAACCCCCCCATACTCATCTTTGCACTAGCCCACCTTTCTGCCATAGTCGCTATATCTCACCCGAACTTCCTCCTCCCTTAGTTTATACACTTTCACCCCCCTCTTACTTGTTGTTGCCACCTTCCTCTTTTCCCATCTACCTCTTACTCTAACTGTAGCTACAACTAAATAATGATCCCATTATCAGTTGCCCCTCTATAAACATGTACATCCTGGGGCCTACCCATCACCCTTTTTTCCACCAATACATAATCTAATAAACTACTTTCATTACGTGCTACATCATACCTTGTATTTTATTTATCCTCTTTTTCATAAAATATGTATTACTTATTACCAAATTTCTTTCTACACATAGCTCAATTAAAGGCTCCCCCATTTACATTTACCCCTGGCACCCCAAATTTACCTACTACTCCCTCCATAAAATTTTTACCCACTTTTGCATTAAAATCCCCAACCACCATTACTCTCACACTTGATTCAAAACTCCCCACGCATTCACTCACATTTCCCCAAAATCTCTCTCTCTCCTCTACACTTCTCTCTTCTCCAGGTGCATACACGCTTATTATAACCCACTTTTCACATCCAATCTTTATTTTGCTCCACATAATCCTTGAATTAATACATTTATAGTCCCTCTTTTCCTGCCATAGCTTATCCTTCAACATTATGCTACTCCTTCTTTAGCTCTAACTCTATTTGAAACCCCCGACCTAATCCCATTTATTCCTCTCCACTGAAACTCTCCCACCCCCTTCAGCTTTGTTTCACTTAAAGCCAGGACATCCAGCTTTTTCTCATTCATAACATCCACAATCATCTCTTTTTTATCATCTGCACAACATCCACGCACATTCAGACTTCCCACTTTTACAATTTTCTTCTCTTATTCTTTTTAGTAATCTTTACAGGAAAAGGGGGTTTCTAGCCCCTTGTTCCCGGCATTTTAGTTGACTTTTAAAAACAGCATGGCTTACGGAGGAAAGATTCTATTCCACTTTTCCCCCTGGATATAAAAGGAAAAATTAATAAGACCAAGAACTATTAAGATAAAATCAAAGAAAACTCAGATGAGTGTGTATAAATAAATGTGTACATGTATGTGTAGTGTGACCTAAGTGTAAGTAGAAGTAGCAAGACATGCCTGTAATCTTGCATATTTATGAGACAGACAAAAGACATCAGCAATCCTACCATCATGTAAAACAATCACAGGCTTCGTTTTACACTCACTTGGTAGGACGGTAGTACCTCCCTGGGTGGTTGCTGTCTACCAACCTACTACCTACAGTAGATTATATATATATATATATACAGCCAAGTGTGTCCCTTTTCTCTGGCCTGACAGTGCAAATCTTGCACCTTTCCTTTTACAAGAATTAGAGTAATTGTACTTGTTCTCCAAGGGGAAGTGGAGAAGAATCCTTCCTCTTACTGTAAGCCATGCATGTCGTAAGAGGCGACTAAAATGCCAGGAGTAAGGGGCTAGTAAACCCTTCTCGCATATAAATTATTTAACGTAAAATTAAAAAAAAAAAAATTTTTTTTTGGGTTGCCCTGCCTTGGTGGGAGACAGCTGGTATTTAAAAATAAAAAATTGTACTTGAGAAAGGGGATAAATAAATATAAGATCAAGCATGCAGTTCCAGCAGTTTTCTAAACTATGTATTGTTGGATAAAAGGTTAATGGATAGACTAATAGATGTACATATTTTTAGAGGAGTGCCTGATATGTCAAATCATTTAGTGGTTGCTTAGTAAGAGGTAGATGGAGTACAAGACATGGCATCGGTGAATTGAAGAAGAGGTAGTTAATGTGTGGTATGAGAAGTTGTTGAAAAATAGTGAGCTAGAGAGGGTACAGGTAATGAAGAATAGGTCATAGAGGTAAACATCTTCGAGAGACAAGCATAGAGCTCAAAGCATTGAACAAACTGTAATTCCTAACTCATATGGTGGAATAATAATATACTTCCTTGAGTGGTTGCTCACTTAGATTACCACTACATTAGCCCTCGAACTGACTTTACGGTTGGTAACTGTAATGAATGAAGAAGTAAAATGGAGATTCAGTGTTGGCTTTCCCTGAATACTTCACCTGATCGTTTTGTTTTTTGGTGGTTGGTTGCTTGCTGGTCTCCTCTTGGCCAGGCTTGGGTATTTTAGTTTGTAATCTACCTTGTGGATATTAAGCATATGGAAAAAGTGATGTTTGGGCAAGTGGATTGGCACTTGGCCTTCTGGAGGTTGTGGTAAGGCAGTGTATTGGGCTAAACCAGAGTGAACATGAGATAGCCTCCCCTCTTGAAGGTATGGCTACCTGTGTTAGTCCTAGGAATAAGTTTTAATGTATCCTCTCATGTTGGGCTCCATAGTGGGTGTGATTATAATAATTAGGTACTAAGCCCATGTGGATCATTAATTCAAATATTGCATCATAGGTGTCTCTACCAGCAAAGCTGGTACAGAGCTGAAGGTTTTATACCATTATGAATATTACTAATCACATGCCTGACCACAGACCATCCTCGATAGTGATTTAGCGGCAGTTTTCAAGATTTCATGATAGGGAGAGAATAGGAAGGAAGTGCCTTGTAGGATGGCACACACATGTGAAAGGAACTTAAGGCTCAAGTGGGAAGTGATTTGATAATTACAGTAGTTCTTGGTCAGTGTTTGCCAAGCTCTTCTATGCTGTTTGTGTATTCAGCAAATATTTGGTTAATCTTTTGAAACTATATTATAACAAACTATGCAGATGAATTATTAGCTCAGAAAATGGTTCTTTGTCTCCTCATTTCATTACTTCTGCCATTTCTTGCCAAGGCAGTGATCCAAATAACCTACTTGCCATACAGTATACTATGTTTGTATAGTAAACACACATTGGGCTTTATAGCCAGAGTGGTCAAGTAAGCCAGATTTCCATAATTTTTATAATTTCACAAATCTATAAATGTGAATTAACATTCTGTACAATTTTTTATTTTTTTTTTTGTGCTAAGACTTAGCAGTGTTGCTTTGCAAAATGTGTAACATAATATAGATTAGTGCACTACTAGTAAACCTTCATGCTAGCGCAAGTTGTTAGGATTATATAACATAAAAGCAGCAAGTTTTGGCTGGAAAGCGCAACATAATGTAATACATGAAAATGAAACCCTCATTAGGCGAAGGAGGCCGGCCGACACAGGTACTCACGCAGAGCCATGATATGGAGGAACTTCGACCTGATCTTTTACCCGTGTCCACCACCACTGCTAACACTGGGGCCTTTGGTACCAGTCCCACTACCATCACTACTGCAGCACCTACTAATGTTGGTGGGATTGATGGTGGCAAGGTGGTGGACTCTGGCCTCAGTGTCATCTCTACTGCAGTGCCGTCGCAGCAGCTTGTGAGACTTCCCCCACCACCCTCTAAAGGTGCCGTGCCCGTGAGGGTAGTTCCTCGCACCGTCACATCACACACAGCCTACCTGACACAATTTCTCCTACACTAATACCATTGAGGTTGTCACCAGGGAGTTGGTTTGAATATAAAATTCAAATTTTCATAATATAAATACCTGTGTATATTATATGGTATACTTAAACTGACTTAGAGGAAATGAGATGGAAAAAGATACTGTATATTCATCTGCAGTTGGGGCCCCTCTTCCCTACACTGAAATACACACAAATAACTCGCACATAAAGTAACTTATGATGTTTCAGTTCGACTTGGACCATTACTAGTCACAATAATTAATGGTCCATGGAACCCCAATGGAAATAAGTCACTCTGTCTGACTTTTTTGGGTTATCCTAGGTTCTTTACACATATGCTGTTATGTATGATAATTCTATGTAACTGTATTTGTGTATACCTGAATAAACTTCCAAGTCAGACCTAAATGTCGTAAGTTTCTTTTTCCTATGTGCGAGTCATTTGTTTATTGTTCCAGTAATGGTATTGTGCCTTTTTTGTTCTTTATACTGAAGAACATTATGACTGTTGATCAAAATAGAGTAATCTTACTTTTTTCTCCATGTGAGTTTGCTTATACTGTTGACTAGTATTATTTTGTGTATATCTTATAAGTTTGATTATATTTGTACGTAAATTGTGTGTTCTTTATGTTTGCAATGGGATCCCAAAAGCAAGTTGTTTGAGGTACAGTCAAGAAAATTGATCACCTGAGAAAAATGAGTGTAAATGGTTAGGAAACCGATAAGTTGAGAAATGAGGCACTTGTGTAACATTTGGGTATCCTTATTCTGGAAATGTTTTGCTAGCCAGTGGCTTCAGTCCAATGCAGAGAAAGGTGGAAGATGAGGAGATTGAGGTAAGCAGTCCCTCAGCCTGGAGTCTGTGTTTAGTCCATCACTCTTGGCCTGAACACAGACTCCAGACTGATTACCTCACTCGTCTTCCACCTTTCTCTACATTGGACTGAAGAGGCCACTAGTTGGCAAAACATTTCCAGAATAAAGATAACCAAATGTTTCCCAAGTGTCTTATTTATAAAAACATTAATAGTCAGGTCTTAGCAGCTTGAATGTCTTCATGTTCTTCTCTGGTGATCTTTGTATAATTATGTACAGTATGTTATTAATGTATTATGTACAGTTTTTTAGCCAGCAATCAAATAAGCAAAATTTTCATTAAGAATTTTTTTTATATTGTGTCTTTGGTACTATGTATAAATTTAGATTTTTGCAGCCAAAGTAAACTGCAGAACATTTATGGAATTTACAGTTTTTCTACCCAGCCTGTCTTAAAATTATCCTAAATTTTGTTATTAAATTTTTAGTAATTGAGAGTTAGTAATGTAATTTTGTAACTTACTTTTCATGGGTTTAGTACCAAAAGCAAATATACTGTTACACAAACTGATTTTGCTATGATTTTTAAGGTGTGTAGAAGAGAGGGAGACTACTTCCCGGTAAAAGTAGGTCTTAGACAGGGATGTGTAATGTCACCATGGTTGTTTAATATATTTATAGATGGGGTTGTAAAGGAAGTAAATGCTAGGGTGTTTGGGAGAGGGGTGGGATTAAATTATGGGGAATCAAATTCAAAATGGGAATTGACACAGTTACTTTTTGCTGATGATACTGTGCTTATGGGAGATTCTAAAGAAAAATTGCAAAGGTTAGTGGATGAGTTTGGGAATGTGTGTAAAGGTAGAAAGTTGAAAGTGAACATAGAAAAGAGTAAGGTGATGAGGGTGTCAAATGATTTAGATAAAGAAAAATTGGATATCAAATTGGGGAGGAGGAGTATGGAAGAAGTGAATGTTTTCAGATACTTGGGAGTTGACGTGTCGGCGGATGGATTTATGAAGGATGAGGTTAATCATAGAATTGATGAGGGAAAAAAGGTGAGTGGTGCGTTGAGGTATATGTGGAGTCAAAAAACGTTATCTATGGAGGCAAAGAAGGGAATGTATGAAAGTATAGTAGTACCAACACTCTTATATGGGTGTGAAGCTTGGGTGGTAAATGCAGCAGCAAGGAGACGGTTGGAGGCAGCGGAGATGTCCTGTCTAAGGGCAATGTGTGGTGTAAATATTATGCAAAAAATTCGGAGTGTGGAAATTAGGAGAAGGTGTGGAGTTAATAAAAGTATTAGTCAGAGGGCAGAAGAGGGGTTGTTGAGGTGGTTTGGTCATTTAGAGAGAATGGATCACAGTAGAATGACATGGAAAGCATATAAATCTATAGGGGAAGGAAGGCGGGGTAGGGGTCGTCCTCGAAAGGGTTGGAGAGAGGGGGTAAAGGAGGTTTTGTGGGTAAGGGGCTTGGATTTCCAGCAAGCGTGCGTGAGCGTGTTAGATAGGAGTGAATGGAGACGAATGGTACTTGGGACCTGACGATCTGTTGGAGTGTGAGCAGGGTAATATTTAGTGAAGGGATTCAGGGAAACCGGTTATTTTCATATAGTCGGACTTGAGTCCTGGAAATGGGAAGTACAATGCCTGCACTTTAAAGGAGGGGTTTGGGATATTGGCAGTTTGGAGGGATATGTTGTGTATCTTTATATGTGTATGCTTCTAGACTGTTGTATTCTGAGCACCTCTGCAAAAACAGTGATAATGTGCGAGTGTGGTGAAAGTGTTGAATGATGATGAAAGTATTTTCTTTTTGGGGATTTTCTTTCTTTTTTGGGTCACCCTGCCTCGGTGGGAGACGGCCGACTTGTTGAAAAAAAAAAAAAAAAAAATTTTAAGGAATGTCTGCAAGTTGTGGCTAAAAGACATGCATTGTATATAATGGCAAGAAATCTCAAATGTATGGCTACAAATCTGAAAATATCAGTGAAAAGGACAAAAAGAACTAGGTTTATTTACAAGTTGTTGGACGAACTAGTTCCTCTGAGATGTGCAAGTGCACAAAAATGCTAAGGGGGTTTCTAGCCTGTAAAATTTTTAACTGTTAGTTTCATATACATATTTTGCATTTTGTAAGTCCTCAACTTACAAATATGTTGAGGACCTCCTGAATTGTGTATAAGATCTATGATACAGGAAGGCTTCAACTTAGGAACACATTGGGGACCTTCTGAATTGTGTATAACAACGATATACAGTAGACCATCATTTAGCACGAGTTTATTTGGCACGATTCGGGTATAGCACGATTGAAGAATTGCGGCACAATTTTATGTAACACGTCGCAAGATTAATTTAACACGGTTCAGTTTGCGGGAAGGGAAAAAAAAAATGCCTTTTCCTCAAGCGGCCACCTTGATGTGGATCAGCGGGGAAGACCTCCTGCCATCCCCTGCCACCCCCAGACACCCCCCCCACCATCCCAGTATTTATACTTCATACACATCCAGTCTTTCTTCTCTGCTACAATCTAGCTGTGTTTGTGAATTGTGTTTTGATCTTTTAATTACTATATCTTATATCTGCCAAGCAATTATGACACCCAGTAGGCATACCAGTGTTGCTGAAAGTGGCAAGAAAAGGTATAAGCATTTAAGTCTTAGAATTAACAAAGAAAACAAAGATATTAGAAAAGAGATAACTTGTGGCATAATGAAGTGTTACTTTGTACACACAAAAAGAGGTAAACATAAGTTTGTGACTGACTTACTGAATGACTTACTGACTTGACTGAATGATTTGAATTATTGACTTCACTGACTGAATGACTTGACTAGCTGACTAAATGACTTAAACACTCCAGTACAACCATTGACTTCAGTACCAGAAATAACAAAAAGAGCACAATACCATGACTGGAACTATACACAAATAACCCGCACATAGAAGAGAGGAGCTTACTACGACATTTTGGTCCGACTTGGACCACTTACAAAGTCACACTAACGAAAAGGAGAGTAGGATGGGTATATATAGACAGGAAGTTGTAGTAGTGGAGGTGGAAGGAAAAGTGCTCTTATCTCCCTCTTTCTCTGTGCTCTCTGCATATGTGATGCTCAGTTCCTTCAATCAGAAATTTCCACTCTTCATAATTCATTTTCCCGTCTTGGCTACCCTTCCCATTTCATAGACTCTGCTTTCTCACGTGTTAAACGTAATTTCTTCTCTCCCAAACACTCTACTCCTGGGAACTCTTCTGTCCTCTGCCTTCCCTACATTGCCGGTCTTTCTAATCTCGACAACTCTCTCCGTTCCTTAGACATCAAAATTATTTTCCGCCAGACTAACACTCTTCACACTAATCTTGTTCATACCTCTCCTCTCTCTACAGATGCTCTTGGTGTCTATTTCTTGTTCCTCCTGTCCTCTTCAGTACTTTGGAGAAACTGGTCTATCTCTTTCTGACAGACTTAAGGAGCACAAAAATTGTTAGGCTTGCCGACACTAACAATGCTCTTTTCTGTCATGTCAGAGATCACAGCCCTCCTATTGACTGGTCTTCTGCTAAAACTGTCTTCCCTACTTCCAACTATAACAGTTGCCGTCTGGTTGAATCCTCCCTAATACACAACTTTTCATGTATGAATCTTAGTCCCGGTTTCATCTCTGTAGATGCCTTCCTCTCCCACTACATTGTAAAATACTCCAAACTTCAGAACACTCATGACCTAACCTGATTCCTCCTTTTTTCTTCATCTCCTTTCCTCTTTCTTTTTTCTCCTTTGGGTTGTCTTTCTACTGCCCTGTGTATTTGTTCCTTCTTTATTTATTTGTTTTCCCCCCCTCGGTTTTCCTGCTCTTACCCTCTGTGGGCACCTAGCTCCCTTGCAGTGCTCCTCTTTCTTAGTATTTGACTGACCCCTCCTACTCTTAATACCTCCCCACTACTACTTCCTTCCACCTCCACTACTACTACCACCTCCTGCCTATAGTATATTCCTACCCTGCTCTCCTTTTCATTAGTGTGACTTTGTAAATGGTCCAAGTCAGATTGAAACGTCGTCATAAGCTCCTCTCTCCTATGTGCGGGTAACTTGTGTGTGTTCAGTA